AAGTTGCAAAGGCTGTTGACAAGCTGCTGTCCCAGTTCCTCCTTCCAGACACTCCCCACTACTTCTTCAAATGGCAAAAGGCACAACCTGAACACCAAAATGGACAACAATCTCTTCTGTACTGGGCAGCCTATCTGGGGCTTTCAGACTACATTCCAGCCTTGCTGAAGAATAAGGAAATAGAGATTGATGCCTTGGGAGGTCTCTTTGGAACGCCTCTGATTGTTGCTACACGTCGAGGGCATCAGGATGTTGTCTTGTTGCTTCTTGACCATGGCGCAAGCAGCAGTGTTCCTGACAAATCCGGATGGACGCCACTGCACAATACCGCAGAATGTGGCCATGTCCACATTATGCACACTCTTCTTGAGTACAGCGCAGCTGTTGATGCGCAGAATCAGATCGGATGGACGCCGCTACACGTCGCTGCACACAATGGCCATGTCGATATCGCGCGTACCCTTCTCGAGCACCACGCAGCTGTCAACAAGCAGGAACAGACCGGTGCGACACCACTACGTAATGCTGCACAGAACGGCCACGTCAACATCGCGCGCACCCTTCTCGAGCACCGTGCAGCTGTCAACGCACAGCAAGAGGGCGGATGGACACCGCTACATATGGCTGCACACAATGGTCACGTCGACGTCGCGTACGCCCTCCTCGAGCACCAAGCAGCTGTCGACGTGCGAAACCAGCATGATGCAACACCGCTACATGTTGCTGCGCAGAATGGCCAAGTCGACGTTGCGCGCACCCTTCTCGAGCACCACGCAGCTGTCGACGCGCAGCAAGAGGGCGGATGGACTCCGTTATATGTGGCTGCATGGAATGGCCACGTCGATATTGCGCGCACTCTTCTCGAGCACCACGCAGCTCTCCACGCGCAGGATCAGGTCGGATGGACACCACTGAATGCTGCTGCACGAGGAGGCCACATCAATATTGTGCGTATTCTTTTCGAGCACGATGCGGCTGTCGATGCACAGGAGAAGAACGGGTGGACACCACTACATATTGCCGCACAGAATGACCACGTCGACATCGCGCGCACCCTCCTCGAGCACCACGCAGCAGTCGATGCGCAGGATCAGGTCGGGTGGGCACCACTACATGCTGCTGCACGAGGAGGCTACATTAACATTGTACGCGTTCTTTTCGAGTACGATGCGGCTGTCGACGCGCAGGAAAAGAACGGATGGACACCACTACATATTGCCGCACAGAACGGCCACGTCGACATCGCGCTCACCCTTCTCGCCCACCGCGCAGCTGTCGACGCGCAGGAAAAGGATAGGTGGACACCGCTACATATTGCTGCACGGAATGGCCACGTCGACGTAGCACGCACCCTTCTCGAGCACCACGCAGCTGTCGACGCGCAGCAAGAAGGCGGACGGACACCGCTATATGTGGCCGCACAGAATGGCCATGTCGACATCGCGTGCGCCCTTCTCGAGCACCATGCAGCTGTCGACGCGCAGGATCACGTCGGATGGACACCACTGCATGCTGCTGCACAAGAAGGTCACATCAACATCGTGCGTGTTCTTTTCGAACACGAGGCGGCTGTCGACGCGCAGGAACAGACCGGTGCGACACCGTTGCATATCGCTGCAGAGAATGACCACGCCGACATCGCCCACACCTTTCTTGACCACGGCGCAGCCGTCGACGTACAGGAAGAGGACGGGTGGACACCGCCACATATCGATGTACACGGTGGTCACATCGACGTCGCGCGCACTCTTCTCGAGCACCACGTAGCTGTCAACGCGCAGGATCACGTCGGATGGACACCACTGCATGGAGCCGCACAACAAAGCGACGTCAACATTGTGCGCGTTCTTTTCGAGCACGGTGCGGCCGTCGACGCGCAGGATCAGGACGACACGACCCCGCTCCATGTTGCTGCACACCACGGCCAAGCCGACGTTGCGCGCGTTCTCATCGAGCACGGCGCAGCGATCGACGCACAGGAAAAGCGCGGGTGGACACCACCGCATGACGCAGCCCAACAAGGCGATGGAGACCTGCAGTCCCAGAAGGGATGGACCCCGCTGTTCAGTGCGGCCTCGAACGGGCACACCGACGCTTGCTGCGTTCTCCTCGACAATGGCGCAGACATCACAGTCATGGATACCGACGGACTACGAGCGGTGGACCACGCAGAGGCGAAGGGACATGCTGAGGTCGTGAGCCTGCTTGTCGACCACGGCGCCGGCATCCATGCAGAGGACCCGCCGCACGGTGAAATCGCAGCCCCTGACGTGCACGAACATCGCGGATAGGGCGCATCGCGGATACGCCGTACGGCCCGTAACGCGTACGCGGAGGATCGGCTAACTGGAAGAGGTTGTGGAGGAGACCGTTGGAAGGTACGGACGGGTGAGCGGTAGTCGAGGTCAAAGGCTACGGAGCAGAGATATGAGAAGTGGGCGAAGGCCAAGAGAGATGTCGAGGGACAATACACCAGTCTGGCTAGATGTGTGTATGCTTGTTCAACAGATATCTCACACGTTTCTCTGGACAGAACACTCTGGAAGATTACGCACGTATCTTGCCATTGCAGAGTAAAATAGTATACTTGGACGCGCCGTACTACTATGCCCTGCCTTTCTTGGAGCCAGCAGAGCGCCCTTGCTAACACTGCTGAGGCCGACTGTATCCTCGCAAGTGTACCCTCAGTGATCCGTCTTCATCACTCCGCTCTCCTACATCGTCTTGAAGGTCGTCTCGTCACTAAGCGTTGCAACGCCTATGACGAGCTGCGCAATGGAAGACAGCTTGAAGATGTGCAGAGACTGATAGCGAGCGATAGCGGACTGCATTATTCACGAAAAGGTCGCAGGTACGGAAAGGAAGAGAATTTCTCCAGTCGATGAGCTTGAAGTTCGAATCAGCTACGTGCCTGAGCTCTAGCCCGCGAATGTCAGAGATACGATAAGAAGCCAGAACATGCCTTCGTAGAAGATCTCCTCCCTGGTATCTAATGTGGGTAGGATGCCTTGGTGCTGGCATCTGGCAACGAACGTCAAAGAGGCATGCCCTAGGTAGCGGCGGCTGAATGAGCCAGATTCGCAAAAGATCCTGTTGGCTGCACACCTTATTGAGATCCCAGACCTATGCTACGTGTCCGAGTGTATACAGCGCACGCGGGAGACTAAACCGTCAATGACATGACCGACGGTAGCCCGCTCAGGTTGGGCCGGTTTGGAGGCATGTCCAGGTTTCTGCGGGCGCGGTTGTTACAGAGCAGCAGGCTTGGAAACGGCGACGTGGGATAGCTCACTAGCGGCATAGTCAGCCGGAAAGGCCGGCAATGACGCGGACGAGCAAGAGCAGGGAGGAGGACAAGAGTGAGTTGGAAATGGCAAGTGCTGCAGCGTTTACTGTTTGGCTGTATGAGTGAC